AAGATCAAAAAAGATATTTACAGGAAAAATCCACTTGAAATTATCCAAACAACCACAGGAAATTTTGAATCAACCACACTCCATGGATGAAATTTCAACTGCTTTCTCTAACCAAAAATGTATGAAATCTCCAAGAAGTGATGAGATTAGTGCAGAGTATTACAGAAAGTTCAGGGAAATATTGATTTTGCTGTGATAAACGGGACGAGAGCATAGATGGTTGGGAACTCATCTGGGTAGAAGACGGGGAAATGGGAAAAGGTGAAAGTACCCAGGAGGAGGCTGATGAAAGGGACTTGGCTTGGAGTAGAATTGACTTCTGTTTCCTCCTCTGGGAGGTGAACGGCTTAGGAGAGAGTGAGTCCTCCTGAGACCTTGGCTTCTCAAACTCTTTCCCCTTTGGGAAAAGGAAGATGTGGGGCAAAGAGCCGGTGGACGCTCCAGTGGCGGGATCTTCGCAACCCTCAGCACTGCTTCGCCGACCTCCCGACAGGGTGAAAAGTACATTTCAACTGAACATAGAACCGGTTTCGGTTCCAACCAATTTGTAGCAGTTAATGCATAGTTTAAGCTTAAATGAAAAATAAACTGAGCCAGACTTATCCCCCCCCCCATTTAGCTTAGTTACATGTGTGTGTGTGTGGGGGGGGAGAACCTGTGTTTGGATTGAGTTTCGCTTGTTTAAAATTCATGTTAAAAAGTTGACTACACAATGCACATGGAAGTGTGGATTTATTTATTTTTGCCTGGGAGGCATGCTTTTTGGTTGGAAAGCGAGGTATTTTAGTCTGCTGTGCGAGGGTTGTTTATTTTAAGTCACTTGTGAAATCAATTTATTTTGACTCATTTTGGCATATATGAATGCCTGTTGGTGTAAACTGTGTTTGTGGGGTTTGCAGCTAACTCCTGTGCCTTCGGTGCTTTCTTTCGCCCTCTTCATTCATCTCTCTCTCTCTCTCTCTCTCTCATGATTCTACGATTCTGCAGCAGTAGATGCAGGAATAGTTTATTCTGTGACTTGCTGGTGTAGCAGAGCATCTGCCCTAATCTAATGGCCTTTGGATGGTGGGTCTTCTTTTGGGACTATATCCTGCACTTCACAATAAAAGGATGCTTTAGAAATATTAGGGGGCGTAGTGGTGCTGTGGGTTAAATCACAGAAGCCTCTGTGCTGCAAGGTCAGAAGACCAGCTGTCGTAAGATCGAATCCACGCGACGGAGGGAGCTCCCGTCGCGTGTCCCAGCTCCTGCCAAGCTAGCCATTCGAAAGCATGTAAAGATGCGAGTGGATAAATAGGTACCCCATCGGTGGGAAGGTCACGGTGTTCTGTGTCTAGTCATGCTGGCCACATGACCACGGAAACTGTCTTCAGACAAACACTGGCTCTACGGCTTGGAGACGGGGATGAGCACCATGCTATAGAGTCAGTCACGACTGGACGAAACGTCAAGGGGAACTTTCACCTTTACCTTAGAAATGTTATTTCTAACATAATTTTAGAAGCAATCTCTCTCTTTCTAAAATTAGTGTGAAACTGGTGTGCACTTGGTATGAAACCCAATGCTTGGTCTTTCTTATTTTGGAAGTGCTTTGACATTTACAGGGTCTTTGTAGCTCTTCAGGGTCCCTGGATTGGCTGAAATGCAGGATAGAAATATTATTTGGGGATATGCTGGGCTCGATCACACGTGTGAAGTCTAAGTCGCACTGGCCATGTGACCACGGAAGATTGTCTTCGAACAAAAACGCTGGCTCTATGGCTTGGAAACGGGGATGAGCACCGCCCCCTAGAGTCGAACATGACTGGAAAATTAAATTGTCAAGGGGAACCTTTACCTTTGGAATTATTTTAAAAAGCGGTCACAGGGTGCACGTTCACATTGTTTTGAAAAGAAGCATCTCATCTCCAGTTATTTTTGAACCTTTTTAGCAGAGTACACTGGAAAATTATTTTAAATTGATTCTTTGATCGTTATGATATTGGGGCAATGTTAGCCGTCCCGCACCCTTTTAAATTTTTTTTTAAAAAATAAACTTTCCTGGTATATTGATAAATAAGTCTAGGCCACCCAGGGAAGGGAGGTGGGGGAAGGCTGTGTCTTTCTGTGCGATGTATTTCCTGTGGTTTTTGTTGCTGCTCCTGATGCTGCAACAAGTGATTTACCAATATGTCTTTCATTTTTTTAAAATTTAAATTTAATTTAAAAAAAAAATTTAAGGGTTCAAGTGCAGTGGCCATGAAGTGGCCACAACACCCAAAAACCCAACACCTTCAGAAAGTAAATAAATAGACAGCAACTTTCACACGTGCAGAACTGAAATGAATTGAAGCAAAACTTGATTTGTACATTTTTAAATGCCACCATCACTGAGGAGGAAATAAACTGACTGCTGGAGCAAATGAATCGTTAGCCATACATCGTGTGAACAGAAAATTTTGAAACAATCTAAATAACAGCAAAATCTGTATAACTGGGGTTCTTTTGGCCACTGTGAGCAATCCCTTTCCTGGTTTAATATTCAGTTTTGCAAAGAAATTTACAAGCATAGTATTGAAAGGGCAGCTTGTTCGGGCTAGTTTTTGGCTACGAGTGAGAAGCAGATGTGAGAATGCTGGTGGAGAGATGACTACAAATTTCTGTAGCCTTTTCCAAAGTAATGTGTGATTCTTGTGGTACTTGACCTCACAAGGCTTCTCTTCGGCTTTGGGACCATACCAGGTTTATTTAGAAGCATCAGAAGAGCGTGCACTTTCAAACATGACAGGAGATCCACAACACACAGAAAACATTACTCACCTGATGATTGAGCCATGACAAGTTTGGGTTAAGTAATATTCATGAAACCAGCTCAGTTCCTCTGGGCAATTACAGCAGATTGCACACCCAGGGTGGAAAAAGCCTTGCCAATAATTAATGAGTTACTCTAAAAACACAGGATAGCTGAAGGTGGAGGAGGAAGTTCTCCCCCTGGAACTGGAAACGGCCTTTGTGGAATGGCTCGCTTGGGGAAGGGCCTGCTTGCGGGAATTCATTATCTCCACTTTTTTGTGTAACAACCAAACGAGGCAATGGGGACCATCCAAAGTTTGCTTGCCAGAGACACCGGCTGTCAGTTATTTGTTATTTCAAACCCTTCCCATGTTGCCACCTTCCTTTGGCGATTTTCGTCATCTTCCTCGTTACTGAGTGAGGTTCCGTCGCTCTCCCGCATCCTTCCCACATCCTTTCCCCTTGGCCCTCAGCCGTTGGACTTCCTCCTCCATGTCTGTCCTTTCATACACCCCCACTGCCTTTCCCCCCTTGCCTTTTCTCCCCCTAGCTAAAATCCCATCGCATCCCCACCACCCACCATATTGGCACTTTTCATCATACAGGAATTCAGCTGGTCCCTGGATTGCCATTTGGGTGGCCTGTGTCAGCTCCTTCTGCAGCTCAGCCATGTGCTGTTGAGGGCGAGGGGGGGGGGCTGCCGCAACAGGACACCATGTATCAAGCACAGCTGCACCTCAGATTTGGATCCAGACCATGTACAATGGGAAGATCTCCCCCATCCCCACCCCCAAAAAACATTTCTGTTGGCATAATGTGCAGGGCATCACAGCTAGTTGTGTTATTCAATAGGCAGCCATCCCCCT